GAAAACCCGAAAAAGTTTGAAAAGTTTTTCAAGTATTTATTAAAACAAAGTAAGCAGGCTACAATATCTAACGAAATAGCTGTTGAGACCATTGATGGCCAGTTAGTAAATTGTGAAAAGTTGTAAATAATTAGTAAAATTATTTATTATTTTAATAATTATTAGTATGTTATATTAACTATTTAAATATTACTATTGTATATACCCTATGTTTAATGCACTGTATATTTATTGTATATTGTATATTTACATTTCTTAGATTATTTCATTTAAAAAGTATAAAAATAAAGCTATTACGATTATAACATAACAAATTACATGGTATCTTATTATATTGTATAATATTTTTTTTCTAATGTTTTCTAATGAACAAGTATAATTCATTATAATTATTTTCAAAGTAACTTATCACGAGTAGATTATAAAGGATTTTCATGCAATTATAATAATCTATATTATTTGTTACACAATATTGTGTAATATTATTTATTTAGTATCATGATTCATGGTACTTGAAGTTGCAAAATATTTTTTTTATTAAATCTTTTAACAAAATATTAATTTCTTTGTTACAAATTTTTCAAATGAAAAAACATTTTGTTTTTAAATGATTGTCATTTTGCTGTAAATTGTTTGTGACATTCACTCCAATCTCATTAAAAAACTTACAGTTATTTTAAATAAATATATATTAGGGGTCATTCACTAAGTAGGTAAATCATAATTTATTACGTAATTTACTTAAACTTAGCCACACACCTACTTTAATCCACAAGTACATAGGTGATATTGAAAAGTTTATATAAACATTATTATTACTCAATTAAACATTTTTTACTTGTGAGAATAAACACTTATTTCATTATGGTTTGATCCGGGTAAACTTACTGATAGACTAATACTGTACTATAATTGCACTAGTTATCTATTTTATTGTTATATAAAAGTTTTTGTCTTATTTTAGCACTTAATAAAGGGTGTGTTAAATGAATATTGATAATTTTCATTTTAGCAATCAAGATTACGTATTAGTACCCACACAATAATTTTACTAATAAATAATTTTAAATAGAGAAGTTTCAAAATTATTTTTACCAATAAATACTAAATTAAATATATCTATTATAATGATTTAATTTGATTTTAAATATGATGTGATTATTATATTATCATAATTTAATTATGATCCTAATAAATATTATATATGTATACAATTATTTTAAAAACAAACCTGTATTAATTATAAAACAAATTTTCGCACTAACAAAATAATTATATCTCTATAATTATGACCAGTTTATAAAATATTATTAATATAGGTAATTATTTTAAATTACAACTAGTACATCATGGAAATTGTTTGTAATATATTTAACCCTATCACTAATATCATTAACAGGATTTAATTGGATTATCAGGTACAGTCATATAATATTCATTGCTTATCATTTGGACTAATGATATAATAAATACTAAATAAGTTTTACTGGTTTACTTTGGGATCAGTGAATCAAAGTGAATAACATTGATAATAAATATGCTGATACAGTATAAAGAACATTGATTACCCTGCTATTGTAAAAATATTTTAAAATTACTTACTGGTTTTTACCACCTGGGCTCATTATAATATAAATGGACAAATATGCTCTATTTCTAATAGACTATTGTAACTAATTGATTTTCATTATATAAACGTTACCTTGCTATTGTCTGCTAAGCACCAATGATTTTATCCTGTATAAAAGTAATATTAAAGTGTCGATTAAATTTTGCATAAAATAAGTTATTAGAAATTTAATATAATACAAGTTGGGTTCATATATAATATAAATATAATTTTTTAATGCTATATTACCTGGCTACTCAATATAAACTGATATACTGTATTTATCATAATCTTTTTTACATAAAATAAAAATGTCAAGTGCTCTAAAAAATGCTGATAAATTTTGAATCAACTTAGGTTGCTTATTTTTGTTATTTTTTATTAAATTTATTTTGATATTTATAATTAAAAGTATTTTTTAACTAAAATTATTCAATAAAAAAACCTTAACTAATATTCAACGCACAAAAACTTCACATACATAATATTTATTGTTTTCGCACATATCAGAAAATATTGAGCATGTTAAACATTTTGCCATGGTCAGTATACTATAGTAGTAATTTAATACTACCGTATACTATGTAAGTAATGCACTAATAATTAAAAGTAATTGAAAATATTGAATGTGTTCACGTGAACATTTTCACAGTAAGATACAGTATGTTCAGAATTAGATAATTGACTATGCTTAGTTTTGTTACATTTTGAAATTCCTAAAAACATTTTTTGATAACCTATTGATATGATGAGGAATTCGTTTTAGGTATCATATAAATAATGTTTAAGTATTAACTAAGATATAATAATATTAAATATAATTATATAATAGTCTTAAAATTTAAAATTAAAATATGAGTTCAACTGAAGCAACATTGGTAGTAATACAGGAGCCAACCCGTACTGACCCTAAAGGGACAGACATTGAAAATCAGCCCAAGTGTAAGAAAAAGTCACTCCCGGAGCGCATACCGGCCTTTGGTATAATATGTGCCTTAATTGGTATGTTATGTCATATTTGGGTAATAATTAACAGTCTATTCATAAATGCTTTGAATTGTCATAACAGGGGTCACAATGTTTTCTTTGGCATCACTTATAGTGAAGTTATTANTCACCAAATGTATGGCCACTGAGTTGGGACCCAAAGGCATACGAGTTAATAGTATTAAGTAAGTTGTGTTTTGGGTCTCCCTCTCTCTCTCTCTCTCTCTCTCAAACACACACCTCGGACGTGGTGGTATTGCGGTAAGACGTGCGCATAGCATTTGTCATAACAGGGGTCACAATGTTTTCTTTGGCATCACTTATAGTGAAGTTATTAACGGAATTGAATTCAATCGAAATACTCGTATTCAGGTATTTATTAACATAAATAGTCTCTCTCTCTCTCTCTCTCACACACACACACACACACACACATTAACTCAATCATACTTTCAATAAAACATCTGAATTAATAAAATCTTTTTATTTTCTTCAAAACAGATGTATAATTCAATTCATCCCATACTTCATCATAACAGTTGTCAAGGGGTACCCAATGTTTGGCATACCCGGCCACGGGGCTGACTTAGCCCAGCGATGCCTAACGGGCACCACATGTCTCATCACACTATACATAGCCTATAGACTGATGCCTCTATCGGACTCCACCACTATATACCAGACCGCACCGGTATTCGTACCTATATTCACGTATTTCATATTCAAGGAAAGGCCTAAAATATTTCCAGTCGTCACCGGTATCATCACAGTCATCGGGGTATTTATAATCTCAAAACCGGAGTTCATATTTGGAAGCTCCACTAGTCCTGATGATTACGATCAGAGATGGTTGGGTATCATACTATCCACTACTGGTGCCATTACTAGTGCCATGTCCATCATAAACCTCCGTAAACTCGCAACGACCCCGGTGCCCGTGGTGGTCATGTGGTACTCGGCCACTGTCGTAGTAATAGGCAGTATTGTACTATCATTTATAGATACCTGGGCAATGCCTCGGGGCGTAAAAACATGGCTACTATTATGATTCATGGGGTGTACCGGTGCTCTGGACGAGTACTTCCAGACCACGGCGTTTAGGTACGAGAGCCCGGCACCCATAACGGTCACCAGGAGTTTTAATTTTGTACTTGCCTTTATATGGGACATGGTCATTTTTGGGGAGTCCCTCCAGTGGCAGTCCATTGTGGGCGCACTACTCATTAGCGTATGTGTAGTGTTAACAGCCGTTCATAAGTGTTATCATGAAAATCGCCAAAAGTTTGAGGACTTTGTTAAGGATTTGTTTAAACCTAAAAAATGCGATCAAATTACTGCTGATATAGCCATTGAGACCATTGGTGTTTAGTTTGTAAATATTTGTTAACTAACTATAAGTTAATTAAATGTCAATAACATAATTATTAAGCAGTATGTTAAATATTTGTTTAATTTACAAATATAATAATTCATATTGTATTTATATATCATAATATTTATAATAATAGTTTTATAGTGATTATGTACTACTACAAATATAATATATCTGTAATTAAACTGTAAATATGTATCGATATAATTAGACTATAGTTTATTTATAATTTTAAACTAAGTTAGTTAATTAAATATTATGTAATAGAAATAAGTGTAATATAATGCTATGAATCACTAGCAACAATTGTGATTAATATTTAGCATGCTACATTAAATTAATTACTTTCGTTTATCAAAACCAATAATAAGTTTCTCAACAATATTCATATGAATAAAGCGCTGATAGTTGACGGGAACGTCCGTTTCCGGGCACCGGTAGAATCGATACGCGCCTACCATACGGGCCAACCCTAACTTCACGACCAACAGTCCGAACCGCATACCAATGCAATTGCGAGGGCCGGCGCCAAACGGCATATACGCGTACGGATTAACCCGGTGCCTATTTTCCGGCATAAATCTATCCGGGTCAAACTTAAATGGATCCGGATAGTACCGCTCCGAATGGTGCAAGGCAAAATTAGGCAGCTCCACCTGTTGACCCGCCTTAATGGTGATCCCGGTGTCGCCTAACTTGTAGTCAGCGGAGGCTATTCTGGCCAATGGCTGGACCATTGAATACCGGCGCAGTATTTCCGACACATAGGCATCCAAATAGGGAAGTCGTGTCAACACGTCGTACGGTATGTCACCGGCGGCTGAATCGATGGCACCGTTTATCTCGTCGTAAAGTCGGCGCTGAATGTCTGGGTTGACGGCCAACTCGTAGGCCGAAAATGCGAGGGTCGTAGCCGTTGCCAAATACCCGCCCAATAGAAATAGGTAGCCCTGCGCTATGATCTCGTCCTCGGTCAATTTTTTATCCTTGATGTTTATGTTGAATACCTTCCGATCGATATCCAGTTCCTCCGTTCCTGGTATTTAATAATTAACAATATTTTCTTTAATTATTATATTAATACTTGTAATATAAAATAGATATTATAATATTAAAAATCATATTTTAAAATAAATAATTTTAAATCTGTCCCCATGAATTTTAATATATAGTAGTAGCTATGTCATTATGATGTGAGTGATAGGTAAGTTTTTTTATTTGTTAATAAGATATTTTTCAATCAAGTAAAAATTATCCAATATCTAATAATTTATTGAGACATTAAATTACGAGTTTCAAAATTTAGTTTTTTAAGATCTAGCTCAAAAAGGTCCTCTATCATATCACCTACTTTTGGTGTCACCTACACTTTTGTGCACTTAATTTAACAATTAATGACATGCTAAATGTTTATCAAAAGTTATAATGTAGCACAGTACTATGTTACTTGACAAATGAGTATACCGGTAGATATAATTATTAACATTTTCACAATGTTAGTCAAATGAAACAGTCCGGCTCAAAAATAGTTCATAAACAAATATAACACACATACCTTTATTAATATGCTGAACATTTATATCCGTGTCATTACCAGCACTACCGTCATCGTCATCCCTGTCCCTAATCTCGGACTCCATAAGCAATTGAATAAAATCATTATATTTAGCACCGGGTTTCCGACGCCTTTCCGCCACAATATGTCTAACAGTATCCAAAAAATACTTATCCGACTCCCTATCCGACAACCTAAACCACCTTTGGACAAATTTTGGCAAAATGAGCTTGGCCAAATCATTCCACACGTTGAAAGTAAACTTCTGCCTAGCTAACTTGATAAACAAATTATCTCCCTGTTTATAGGTATCAATTCTTGTACCAAAAGCGCATCTAGCTATTATATCCAGTACCAATCTACTACACCAATCTTGGACATCTAGGTGCCCACCGGCCAGGGAGTCGATGGTAGCTGTAAAATCGGATAAACAGTCCCCGATTTGAGGGTACATTCGTCGCATCTTTCCCGACGTAAACACCGGCGATACTATAGAGCGAACACGTTTCCAGTCGTCCCCACACAAGTGGTTGAGGTTTTGGGCAGTTAGGGGGCTGTTAGGGGTCCACACTTTGGTACGATTGGTAAACAGGTGAAAGTCCTTCACCCAAATTGCCTTGATCAGTTCAGGATCGGCGATGTTCAGCACAGGTATAGTCCCCACAAAATGACTAAATTTTTTATGTTTACGAAAATTAAGCAAGCATTATTTTAGATATTTCTCATTTGAATGTATAATATTAAACTTAACATAATGGTTATATACTAAATGAAATACCAATGCTGTAATACAAATATTTTAGGGGGCTATACAACTGTTGAATGAAATTATGTTTACCTTGATAATTTCATTTAATTTATTAAGTCAAACAAATGGTTAGTTATAACAAATACCCGAATATATTGCCATATTTCTGATACAAATTACGCTCTTTGAAAGGGTTTGGTTTCAGGAATGCGGTGAAATAATTACCAAATACAGGGACAGGTGTGGGACCTGGTATGCCTTGTTTTCTCCAGTAGTCGTAACCGCGAGATTTATATCTGCTTGTTCATAATGATAAATATTGTATTACAAATTTACAAATTAAATATTACTTTTGTTTTGTACGAGCTAAATTAATATACATTATGTAATTATTATGATGTAGTATACTTACAAATAAATGTATGTCACAATGAAAAGTACGCCAAATATTACCGTGTAAAACATTGTATAGTGTATTGTTAATAAAATTATAGCTAGCAATTAACTATAATACACGCGATTATTATGTTTATATAATTAACAAAACAGCAAGACTTAATTTTATAATAATTATTTAAGTTAAGATAGCTTTCATTTAAATCCTATTTATAATAGCACCTTTAAACAATAAGAAACATGTATAATATGTTGTTTCATTGTATCATGCAAAATTTTATTTTAAACTGCTTTATCGTGGCGTGTCACATAACAGTGGTAAGTTATGTGCAATAAAAATTACATGACAAAATGTTCCTACTTTATTTTACTGTAACTATCCAAAGTAAACACTTTTAGATGGGTTACTAGTATAAATATATTTAATCTTACTAACGATATATATTTACTCACGTCAGTATGATATATGCATTTTAAATTCAGTTTCATATACAGGTATAATAATTTTAAAGTATTCATTTTAATTTTTTTTAAATAAAGATAATTTTCAATTATTTTATACTATTAGCTTTATTAGCTATAATTCATAAAAATATTGATTATAATCAGGATTGATATTTAACTATAAAAGTATAATCACTTAATTGAATACAGTAACAATTTATATTTTTATATTGAACCTTATATCACATAGATAAGATAACACACAATATACAATATACAGTAGTATTAGAATAGTAAACAGTAAATAACTATAATTAGCTTATTGATTTTATTTAACTAAAATGTTTTATAAATTTATATTATATTATTTTATTTTGTTATATTTTATTTTATTAAAATATAATATTTTAAAGTGACCAAATCTATGTAATAATTAAAAATATTTTTATTGTACCTGTGACGAAATAACTGATAATATTAGATAACTAAGTAACAAATGCACCAACTAACATAACTATATTATATAAAATATCATTTGTATTATTATGCACTTTAATATTAAAGTAGGTTAGCAGGTGAACATGTCAGATATAAATATAATTGGTACTTGTAAAATATGCGGCGACATGGCATACGGTAATACAATTATTTTTGAATTGAACAATTTTAAAATTTATTTTATTTAGCATTTATTTAAAAATATCTAGCATAATTATAATTAAATTTTTTATTTTAACATATTGTAGGCAATAATTTTGATGTCCTGTCGTGTCCCTCATGTAAGGCATTCTTTCGTAGGAATGCCCCCAAAAATAAAGTATTTACTTATTTAA